TTCCAAAAGCTTGGCTCTTCTAGCTGTTTGACTTTTGGAAAGTTCCCGCACTTTGTGCGTGAAGGTAAACCAGCGATAGCCACTGTAATTTTGATGAGTTCGTGGAAGCATGCCCTTTCGTTTCGACATGGCGGATATTCAGTTTCTCCCCACCTGCCAGGTGAGGGTTGTTAGACTTTATCAGAGCTCTTCTCCTTTTCCTCCTCTTCCTCTTCTCCTCCTCCCCCTCTCCTGATCCCCTCTCCTCGTCATTTTGACTGCCGCACCTCAACCGCCAGCTCCAGATCGTAATGGGCTATACCTCAACCGCACGTGCACGATCGCAGTGGGCACTCCCGGACCTCACCAGCAAGCGCCAGACGGCAGTGGGCACTACTGTACCAACATGTACCCCAGATAGAAAGCCAGAGCATTTGCCAAGTTGAGTGCCAGACTATATGCCAGATAGAATGCCACCACTGATGCCAGGAAAAATGCAGGCAGCTATAACAGATAGAACGCCAGCAACTTTGCCAGATAGAACTCAGAGTATATACCAGGTAGAATGTCTGATTTTATGCAAGATAGAAATCCAGGATATCTTGGATGGCAGAACAAATGTCGGAATACATGTCAGAACACATACCAGGACTGGAATTGGTCCATATGTCACAGCACATGTCAGACAGGAAAAATGTCAGAACAACAAACATGTCAGAACACAGTCCAGAACGTTTCCCAGCTTTTATGATAGATGATGTGTCAGAGCACAAACCAGATTTGATGCCAGAACAAGCGTCAGAACATCATGTCAATCCGCACAAATCGCCTTTTCAGAGTGGGGATCACTCGAAGTAAAGTAATTCTAGAGATACCGCCTACACCAGTCGATCTGAGCTCAGCGCCCACAGTAGCTCAACCCACTAAGCCTTTCCGAACCGGTCGGTCAAACGCTCAACGGCCAAAATGGCGGTTGTCTACCCAGAAGAACTACTTCATGTTCAATGAACAGGTTTTTCCCTGTCAAGGCCAGCTAGCCCAAAATATCCAGGTCAAAGAAAGGGTTTGGGCAACTCTAAGGTCTACCATCACAGGTTGGACAGGCTGCATCCGGTAAGTTCTGAGTAGAGTTTGGGAAGTGATGCTTCGACGCCCGACATGACCACAAAAAGCGCTGTGTTACGCATCGGACTTGGCTTGTAGCTTGCACATCACCGGAAAGTGCTCCCTGTGGGGCGCACCATGTCAAATCTAAAATGCGCTTTTCAAATGCCGGCCCCAGAAGATAGCATTGTTTTCAACAGACCCTTTTTCTTCAGCATCCATCGTTTTTTCTTCGTGAGGCAAAACCCAACGAGATCTCACCCCTGAGCCCTTCAATCATGGCCTCCCAAAGGCTTTAGCCTCGAGCCGATGATGCAGCCAGTCGAGACCGGATAAGAAGTGATTTCACCTAACCGAGTAGAACAATAAAACCTGGAAACCAAGAAGCAGCAAGGAGCTTTGCAGTTTTATATTGAAGATTGACAGTGCATTATCTGAACACACTAACCTGAAGGGGTTGATGGTTTTTGTACGAAGCGGGGGGCCGGGGGTAGAGAGTAAAGACGTTCAGGCTCATGTTTCAACAGCAAAGGACCCCGGCTCATCTGGTTTGTCTGAGATCATGCTGTAGGCGATTCCAAGCTATGTGGGGCATCACGAGTCTCCAAAATGTCACGGACAAATAATCCTAAGCAGACATCAACTGCAACTGCAAACGCTGAACTGGGCCCCTGGGCCCCTTCCGTCACATCCCACCAATCTAGTTAAGTCCAATCCAGTTGAGTCCAGTCCACTCCGCCAGGCTACCATCTGCGGTTGGAAGATCGCCATGATCTCCTGGTTGGAAGATCGTCAGGCTGTAATGGACTGACCAGTCAAGTCATGCTGCGTTTCCTTGGTTCTTGAACGCCCTGGACAATGAGAAGCCTCAAACGGAAGAACTCTCATGATCCTTGCTTCATAATCATCTGCTAATACAAGATCGTTGTCAAGACACCCTCACACTCTCTAGCTTCCTCAGATCGAATGCAATGTATGTGCTTATTGTGCCTTTTCCCTCTTGTTGTCCCGTGCCTTTGCCAGTTGTGTGGGATCTGGATCTACCGAGCCATCGTCTCTCTGCTCAGCCGCCTTCAGAGTCGAGAGGGTGATGCAGAGGCTTCAACCATTTTGTTTTGAAGTTCCAGGTGAGTGCCACGGAGAGAGTGTTTCCCGAAGTGCTCTCCAAATAATAGATAGAAAAATCTCAAGGCTGTCTATCTATTTCGGGGTGACTAAATCAGTGGATCCAATGTTGTTAAGTATGGCTTTTGACCCTGCTTCAGAGAGTGAGGAAAGTACACCTGGCACGGAAAGTTCACTCGATTGATTGCAAGTCTTCGTGGCCGCTAAGGTCGGCTGTATCGTGGATCGTCCCACTGCGGACGTCGAATAGCGTCCGATCGCTCCTAGTAGCGATGCCAGGAGCCGGAACCCCTGGTAGCGTCCTTGCAACTAGTAGTAAGGCCAGGAGCCCCTAGTAGCTTCTTGTTCCTAGTAGCTTCTTGTCTTGCACCATCCTCTGTCCGGCGTGTCCAGATTCCTTTTACCAAAGCCCTATATTATCTGCCGCTGCCAGGCCTGTGAAGGTAGGCAAAGTGCGGCCAGCAAAGCCTGGCGAGGCCGCTGCATCAGTATGTCTCTGTTGTATGAGGAACCAATCCTCCAGCCGCCGGACGCAAAGGAACCTCCAGCCACTTTGAAGCACACTGTTCTTTTTATATCTCTTGGGAGTTCACCATGGTTCAATCATCTTCGCCCAGAATTACCCATGATTTGCCAACTCCAACAAAGAGTTCCTGGTTTGCAAAGACACGTTGTGTCAGACATGCTTCCAACACCCTCGTTGGTCTCAGGGGTTTCGTTTTCGGGGTGCTTTGTCCATCCACTGCCCCACCTGCCATGCTCGTCGCATGCCCGACCGCGCAGCCTGACGGTGGCACCCGGAGCCCCCGTTCACCAGGGTGGGTTGACTCGCCGGGTGGGCTATTCTGTTCGTTTTTCGTGGTCAAGCCACGGTCGTTTTGACCGGGGACAGGTATGTCGTGTCAAGTCGGTCTGTTCTCGAGCGATGGCGCACCGTTCGGACAAGGGCGAACCCCAGCCTTGAGGCGCCGAACGCCACCAGTGCAGTGAGGGCATCTCCAAGGAGCCAGTGGCAGCAGAAGGCTCACAAACTAGGATGACTAAGGTGGACCACTCGTTCCACGACCTTCAATGGTTTGAGAACATAAGCATGGAACTAGGGCATCAGGCCGTGAATTCAAGCTTGTGTGGTTTTCGTCACAAAGAAGAAAACAACCTCGTGCCTCGTTGTGCGCTCTTTTGAGGAGTGGATGAACGGTTGTTGTTGATGTTGTTGTTGTTGTTGTTGCTGTTGTTGCTGTTGTTGTTGCTGTGATGGGGGTGGCGTCAGCAGTAGCAGTCGCAGTATCAGCAGGAAAATATTGTGGTATGCATGGCGGTCTGCAATGTGGCAGCATCCTCGTGCAAATCTATTTTCCCAAGAAGAACCCCATTGCACTATGTGTATATATATTTTTTACATATAAGTTGTATCATGAACTGTACACACACAAAAAAAGAAACAGCGTCTAAGGCTGAAGAGCTCTGTGTGCAAACACAAAAGAATGCACCGCACAATTAGAGCCCGTTCTGTGCGGAAATAAACCAGCACAACATCTTTGACAAGAAGCTACTAGGGGCTCCTGGCCTTACTACTAGGAGCAAGGAACGCTACTAAGAGGATGCTCCGATGATCCGAGGATCGGTTGATCCGATGGTCCGACGCATGACTGACGCGGCCATGAGTGACCAATGCAAGGGCAAATGAATTCTGTGCTCATGGCTGGCTCTTGTGGAGCGGCCAAGTGGATGAACAGCAGCCGGTTGACGTTGACGTTGGGCTTCGTTCGAAGATCGACTCTTGGCGACTTCACAATGCGTCCTTGCTAGTAGTAACAAGTGCATCGCTAGTAGTAACAAGTGCCTTACTAGTAGTAACAAGAAGCTAGTAGAAACAATGAGCTAATAGCTTCTTGCTCCTAGTAGTAAGGCCAGGAGCCCCTAGTAGCGTCCTTGCTCCTAGTAGTAAAGCCCTTGCTCCTAGTAGTAAGGCCAGGAGCCCCTAGTAGCGTCCTTGCTCCTAGTAGCGATGCCCTTTGCTCCTAGTAGCGTCCTCTACTACTAGTATCCGAGCAGCTGCTTCGATTTTTCTGGGATGTATGTGAGTGGTAAAGTTCTGATACTTATATGTTTCACCTCTGCCAGACTGTCTGGGGGGCATCTCCAAAAACCTGGTTCTGCTTCCACTGGGACGCAGGACGCAGAAAGACTTCATCCTTGGGGCCTCAAGCACCCAAGCCGCTCACACGGTCGAATGTCATCTCTCTTGGGATCCTGTCCCCGATGCATTTGGAGTCATACTGAACAGCAATAGCACTCATGCCCTGCTCCACTGTGGTGATGTGTGTTTCTTTCCAAACATGTACAGTCAGAGTACGGAAGATGAAATTCCTTCAGGCTTCCGGTCGTACTGCGCAGTTTGCTTGCGTGGGCGTGCTTTTCTCGTGCTTTTCTCTGGGTTTAACCGTTGCAACGTTCTGTTTACACGAAGAGTGCCGTGATTTTTGACAATACCCGCCTCGTACGGCGGTCGCGTCCGAAAATATCTGAAAACAAGCGTATCAACGCCTTGTGTCGCCCTTTTCCTACGCTACAGTAACCATGCTGACCATACATAGCCTCCAAGCGTGGGAATGAGACCGGAAAAATGACACTGCTGCGTCTCAATATCAAAGCAATTTCCAGCAAAGTTCACCACAGCCTGGTTCCATCATTTCCCTTACACATAGATACACATAGGTTAAATCGCAACAACCACAAAGAAATATGTCTTTTAATATTCAGGGACCGGGATATCTGTGTTCACTTGAAGAAAGCGCCTACTGGACCTCCTCCTGAGACGCACCAGTGACGCACCGCGCAGCGGGCCCTGCTGTCAGGTGCCCGTGAAAGCAGTCGGACGTCAGGCTCAGGCACCTGAGACGCCCCAACAGGGTGGCGTGTCAAAGAATCAAGTATTGTAGATTGACCGTTCAGTGTTCTTTTTTAAGTGAAGACTGGTCGTCTCACTGCAGTGGATTTTCCTCCACCTTTCGTGAACAGGTGTGGATTTGTTCTTTTACCCTTTGGAGACTTCATATCAAAATGGCCTTTTTCATGTGTAGGATCAGGATCAGGCCGATGGGGCTCCGGGTTCCTTGTCTGGATATCTTCCAACAAGCATGTCCATGCTCGAAAGAAAACGAAACACCACGTAACGAAGCGACTCCAACCGCCAGACACTGCAACCGCCAGGGGCACCTTTTGTTGCACTGATGTACGCCTCCAAAGTTTTGATGGCGGAGCCATTGCTGAGGGCGGCCTGACATACCCCTCCCCCTCCATTCCCCACGCCAACCAACCCCCTCCATTCCCTGGAGGGCTTTGGGTGGTTTTTCAGCATGGTCCAATTTCCGGACAGGGAATTGCTCTCGGGCGGTCGCTGTATTCGCAGAAAATGTGAGTATTTCTTAGCGCCGGGCCTTGGCCAGTTCTGTGCCAGCCTTAAAGTCTGGCACCTGCACATGAGCAACTCACGGTGACATGCTGAGAACAACAAATCCAATACCTAGAGAGCTGAGCCTACCAAGGCTTAGTTTGGGGGTTCTCGCTTCCAGGCAAAGTAGTCTGCCCCTCATTACAGCCCCAGGAATCTTCAGGACTAGGTTTGCAGAATGGGTAAACCAAGGTCCAGTATTGGGGAATGTGCTAAAACACACAATAAGAAAAAGTGGGGTCTTTTCTATTGGGGTGCTTGTTTTGATCTCCTGAACGACCCACGCACCATCGAGGCCGTGGTGGTGTTTTTCTTCGGATGGTGTTCAGCACAGAAAACGCACAGTGGAATGCGAGGTGCAGCATAGGTCGACCTGAAAGCCAGGGTGATATGATGATATGAATGATGTGTATCTGTATATATATATATATGATTATATTTGTTTGTGATATACTCAACAGCATCTGCGGCGAATCTGCGAGCTTTTGTCACCTATCAATCATTTGCTGAGGTACCAACTTCATGTCTATCCCAGCTGTTAGACTTCTTGTAGCTGGCCAGGGAGCACTGCCTCACCACATCCATTTCAGCTTTGTCGAGTCTCGTCAATATCGTACACCAACGCAAGGAAGGAAAGGACCTCGTTGGGTAGGAGGTCCTCGCGTGGGATATCGCGTCTGCAACATTCTTGCGGATGGCTGGACACCACCCATGATAATGCAACCAAGGCTCAACTATGCCGCATGGAAAGGATCTAGTGAAAAACAGTGAAAGGAGTCTGTTGCTTTCGGAGACTGGGCATCTCCTACCTTGCACAACTTAGTCACCCCGCACAGCGGCAAGAGCAGGGGGCCCACCCGAGTGATACACGAACGGACTGATGAAAGTCGCTTGGTTTGCGTGGGTGCTCTGGGCACTCTGAAATGTGACAGCGATGCCCTTGTGACTAGTAGCTTCTTGTTACAATCACGCAGCCCGTCTTAGCTAACTAAGCGGTGTCCGATCAATGCGGCACCACAAGTTCTCACCGGACTTTCCGCAGCTCCGAGACACGGGGCGCTGGTTGGCCACGAACCATTTGGAGTTGAAAGAGGAGGTGTTCCTCGGAGGAGAAGGGGCTCATGACAAACCCCACCGGGAGGTCCGAAATGTGGTCACTGGGAAATGAATGGAGTCACTTACTTCAGTACGGCACAAGTTGTTTGAGTTGTTTAGTGAAGCCCGGTCTTGGGATTCAGGGGGCCTTTTTGAACATACGAATCCAGAAAGATCTTCTCCACCTGGAGCACCACGCATGATACAGAACACCTTCGGGGTAGTTTCTCCATAATCTTCAAGAAAAAATAAACGCAAGAGACCGCAAACAGTTTTGAGAAGAAGACAATGGTGAAAAAGCCAACATCCGCACTCCAGAGCACACACACACACATACGAGAGCACACACATCAGAGCACATAGATGAGAGCACACATGAGATCATACACATGAGAGCACACATAAAAGAGCACACCTGACCGGAGACCATGCAAAAGAGGTGACCCAAGAAACCGAGAACAACCGGAGACAAACTGAGAAAACCTACGACAAGCAAAGGCACCCGCTCAAAAGAGCAAGACCCCTCTCAGCTCACGCTTCAAGGAAGCTCCCCGCCTGAGAGTGGGGGGGAGCTTCCTTGTCCTTAATTGTGAACCTTTCCCATACTTCCTTTTCCGTACAAGTGGTAGCCCTCTTCAACCTCCCACTTTACATATTGCCCACACCTCTGCCATCCAAGCCTCTGTGTGACTGAGCCAATGAGCTCCTTCTCGTCAGGGGTCTCCACCAAAGCTTCCCAATGAGACTTGTGGGAATAGAAATTCATCGTTTTCCTGAACACAAAACCAGGTAAGAGCACACACACTGTTATATATATATATATATGCGTGCGTGTACACAATTACATATCATAACATCACATACAGTAACATAACTATAGAATCTTATAAATGCACATTTTGGTGCACCGGTTGGGCATGGGATGAAACGAGCGGTGAAGTTTCCTTTCGGACATCTGCCTGCTGTTCTTTGACTCCACTCTGGCACGCCCATGAAAGCGCTTCACCTGGTGCGCTTCGTGTCATTTTTGATGATCACCTTATATACATATATATAACTTCGAAGTGAATTTGTTCTGGGATCACTGGGCCATTCTAATGTTTTTCTTCTGACAAGCGTTTTGGCGAAACGTTGGCACAACTGCGACCCGCTTATTTGAACACAAGATTCCGCTTTAACAAAGCACCCCTTGAGCTTGGAAAGCTGGCCAGGGGGGCACTTCACACGCTTCCATGCTGCTCAGTTTCAAATCAAAGTGGGCCTTTGCCACCAAAGTACCTCGGCGGAGATCAAATCTGCCGAGTATTACTTTTTGGCAGGCTCAGAAACCAAGGTTGAGCTCCTGATTCTGAAGTCACCAGCTTGCAGTGCTTTGTTGAAAGTTTGTCTTCTTCATTCCTCATATCCAAAAGCTCCGTGGAGGTCTGACAGCGACCTCTCTCTTCACTGTCAGACCTCCAAGGACTGAAGCGGATGTCCAATTGGTCAGCATCAAGTGTCAAGTATCTTTGCAAGATCTGGTTCATCCCATGAGTGCCCGCAACATCCCGCAACCATCTGATCAGAAAGTACATCCCTCATGATATCCCACAATGCTCATTCTCGATTCCTTGAGCAACTATGCAGCTAGCTGCAGCGCTACGTCCCTCCCCGCTGTCCACATGTCCCGCGCCCGGCCTTCGCCGCCACTGGGCATCTCGTGGATGTTGTAGACCACGGTGAGTCCAGGCTTGGACAAGGACCACGGCTGCGTCTCCACACTGAGCTCATAGCTCGTGGCGCGATGGGAGCTGGAGCCTCGAACGGCGTCCAAGCGCAAATCTTTTGCGGGTGCTGAAGAAGGTTAGATACCATGTTTTGAACTGGTGTTGCTGTTATTTGGCGGGGCCTTGCAATGAGCCAGTCATATCCCGGTGTCTTAAGCAGGAGAAATGCACATGGAAGAGTGGCAAGTCGCAGTTGCAAGACTCCTGACCCGGCATTACTTTCATGTCGAGAGCTATTTATAATGCTAAGAGACTCCTGACGCTTGCGACTCTCGTAGATGACAACTCAATGACGAATTCTGACCCAACAATCAGGACAGAATTATATACAGGAAATACACACGAATGATCGTTAACAGTTAAATATAGTTATATAAATATTTCACTCACGGGAATGACAGTCATTCGTTGTTCATACAAAACGGAGTCCGTACTCCTTCCGCACTGCTGAGAAAGGTACACTGCACGACAACTACAATTCGACCCAGTCAACCAGGTCGAGTCAGCCAAGTCAACCTGTGCCTCTGCACTTTTGAGTAGTGAGTAGTCATTTCTACAAACACCGGCCGTAACGTCCTTCCACGCACAAAAAGAAAAACAAAAAGAAAGAAAGAAAGAAAGAAAGAAACGGTTCTCCGAACGGTTCTGGGTGTTGTGTTGCTATGTCTATGTCCTGGCCAGGGCACAAAGCCAGACTTGGAAGTTGGATCCAAAGGGGCCACCGACCTTGTGACCCTCCAGGGACGTTCGACCCTGTTGATCCACAAAGGCAATCTTCTCCACGAGTCCGAAGAGTAGATGCCCATCGGACCTCGGACGTGAACAAGGTCGGAAGGCTTGGGGACGGAGGCGCGGCTGGGAGGCTTTCCATTGAGCCCTATCTGGGTCATTCACCTACAACTCACCTTTTTTAATCATCTTGGAAAGGCGTCCAAGGCTGCTTCTTGGCAAGAGACCAATATCCCAAGCTGTCAGATGCGCTCACGGCGCTCGTGGAATTCATCCACACGTTGAAATGCCAGAGCTTGGTGGCCAGTCCCAGGACATCAATCTGCTGCCACAGGTGCCGCAAGCCTTCTCGATCAATTTGGCTGACAGTATTGGGTGGGATGACTTCATTCCAAATGAAATCAGAGGCAGAATTGCAGGTCGGCTGTCTCAGCCATGCTATCAGTTCTGAAGTGAGCACCAAGAAAAGCACAGTGATGCCTTGGTCTTTTTCGTCACATGGAGACGAAAGAGCTTCAGAGTTCAGTAAAGAATATGTTTTTGGATCTTCTGAGCCGGTGTCCAGTCTCTAAACACCAAAGAATGAAACTCTCAGTGAAGACCCAGTGACCGAACCATGCGCAGCAGCCCCACTTGGGCATCCTAGTCGGACGCACGGTAGCAATCCTCTAGGATCCCTAGTCGGATCTCAAAGGATCCGAGAAGATCTGCAGTGATTCTGGAAGGGTCCAGAAATGCCTTTTATCATATGTGACAAACAAACATTGTGTATTGCTCTGCTCAGATGGTGGGGAATCACCCATCCGTTAATTAGTTGGAAAGAATTGCGAAGAAAAAGACAAAATCCAAATCCGTGTTCGAACCCGTTCGATTGAATGTCAATATCCTATCATTGGGAACTTCATCCTCCATACCTGCCTCGATCGCAGCATCTCGCAGCGCCCAGGTTCGGAAGAGGCATCCGAGAGCTCTTCGTCCGAGGGTGCTCGCGAGTATTTCATGGCAGCGCCGAGAGCTCTTAGTCCAAGTGCGGTGGGAAGTACTCGGCGCGTGGGACGATGATTTGGGCGCCTTGATGATGGGAACTTTGGGAAAGTTTTTCGCGTTCAGAGCGTGGAGAAGTCTTGGGGATGTCTGCCAAGTGTTTTGTGCGCCTGTCTATCAATGCCACAGCAGCCATTCTCTGAGCTGCAGCAAGAAACAGCGGCCTCAGGGCCTCAGGGAGCCTGTGTAACCCAGTGTAACCCCACTTCGCCAACAAAAACAACGGTGGTTACCTTTTTTCATGTCCAGGGTCTTCCAGGGCTCAATTCGCACCATCAGCGGTGCGTACATTGGGCCCCAGAACCCTTTTTTTTGGGTTCGTTCTTTTCGGCGTTTTTACGCGCGTTGCGGATAGCCATAGTGGTTTGCTGCTTGGTGGTGGGGTTGGCAGCGGCGACTTTGAGCTGAACCGCAACTATACCAAGAGAAAAAAGCCCCAGCTGGCACCGGCGCCTACGCTCTCGCAGAGCAAAGGCAAGAGGACTAGTTCGGCAGGCCAAGAAGGCAACCCACCTGTCTAAGGACCTTCAAGAACGGCTCGTGAGGGCTCGACGCATTTTGCAGGAGCACCACAGTTTCGTTCGACCCATGGGATGGGGAGGTCAATACAAAGGAGCTCAAGGGAAGCCATGGTGGAGCAAATGGCAGCAGCAAGGGCAGCCGAAAGGCCCGAAGCCCAAAAAGGAAGCGAAGACAGACAAGAGTGCAAAGAAGAACGAAAAGGCAGAGGATGCCTTTCCGGCTTACGAGTCTTTGCAGTCATCCTCGTCTTCCTCTGCAGCCAAGGAATCCAAGGAAGTCCAGGAGATCAAAAAGGAAATGCGAGAATTCCTTGCGGCAAAGGACATCCCGGTGGATCCACACATTGTGGAACTACTACACAGCGACTCCAACACCATGGAAGAGATCAAGTCAGAACAGAGGAGCTTGAATCTCAAAAAGAAGGTCATTGGGAGGATCGAAAAGTTGAAACAGAAGGTAGCCGAGAAGAAGGAGGCGTGGAGCATTTTTCTGGATGCAATGGAGGCTCATCGAAAGAAGGAGAAGGAGAAGCGTGCTTCAGACTTGCTAGCTCTGGAAGACGCTCTCTCAGAAGCCCAGAAAGAGCTCAACAAAGTTGTGATGAAAGAAACAGATGGAGGAGACAACATGGCAGTCGAGGATGCGGAGAAAGAAGCACTGAAGAGGGAGCTCGAGCGTACTCACGCTATCATGAGAAATCTTCAGCAACGGGTCGACAGCTATGTTGGGGCAATGGAGATGACGAGGCCGGAGGGAATGGCGAACGACCTTTCGCCTCAACTGACGAAGCCTCCGCAATCAATGTTGGCAAGAACTTTACCAGACGAAGTGGCCGCCAGAGCAGCTCGTGCCAAGTTGCTGACGGCAGCCGAGAAAGCGTTGAAGGAGCAGACAATTCCTGTTCCTGTACGCTCACGGAGCACATCAAGGAGTCCCCGAAGAGAGCCCTCCAACTCCTTGGAGAGGCTCGACAGGTGAGAAGTCAAGCTTATACGCCTTCTTTCGATCTTAGTGGAAGCGAAAAGTCGGTCGGTGATGGACCAGACCATGGCTTGATGCAATATGAACTTCTCCTGACGGGTGCTTTTGGCGCCGTTTTTCAAGGGGCGACATGCATTCAAGGGTTGAAGGGTATTCGAAACGGCATTTGGAAGGGTACAGAGGTCTGCCATTTGATTGCAACCGACCTTCATGAGCCAGTTTTCGAGTGGAATAGATTTCCGCAAGGCTGGGTGCCTACCGGAATCGAAAATCAGTTTTGGCTAGAAGAGTTCAATGGAACAGTTGCGGAGACATCTTTTCGGGACAGTCGATTGCATCTGAACCTTTTTGCAGGGGTAAGTACAATGTTTTTGTGCGCACTCTGCACTGCATTTGGACGAACATGTCCATTGATACATTCCTTGCTTTGGCGTCGACCCCTTAGGGGATCTGACCAAAGAAGCAAGCTCATCCAGTGGGTCCTTTTGGGGTTTGTTCTACTGGTTGCAATTCAAGTGGTGACGTGCCAAATACTAGTCAGCGGCGGTGTGCATATCCAGCCAGACTACCTTTCGGTCGCAATTAGGGTCCAAGCTGAACTAGCCTTTTTGCTATTGTTTGTGAGACTTGGGCTGAAGTGGAGGTGTGATAGTATAGGTCCTTGCAGAAGTGTCTGCAATTCTCGCAAATGTGCGGTTCGACCTAAACCTCACAGCGTTAAGCTGAAAGCTCTCCTTATATGCCTCAACATAGCGAGTTCGCATGCCACTCAGGTTTTCCATGCTTGTGAACAGGGTGCTATGTCCATTGGCAATAGGAGTTCATTTCAGGCAGCCAGTGATAGTGACGGACAGTATCATCGTGATAACTCCGTCTTGCGTGATTCTTTGCAGAGCATTCAGCAATGTCCTGACAGCTCAAGGGCCTCATTCTGGGGCCCAATTGAACAGAGAACAGACCTAGGTCAGCACTGCATAGATGCACTGTCGAGTCACGCTGCAGAAGGAAGTGCCCTACCAGAGGCCACCTTCTGCGAGTACGAAACTAGTCCTTTTTCTTGGCCTTGTGAAGGGGACAGTAGACCTATAGTTCCGGAAGGAACTGAAGAAGGCCACAGCCACTCGTCCATGAACGGTCCGGGCCAGGAATCTAACATTGAGTCCAGTGACTCGGCACTTCTTGACGACGACAGGCTAACATTTTTGGGCAATTTTGTCATCGATCCTAGGACACAAGAGCCTTTAGGAACCGATGTTGAGCAGGACAGGTCGGTCCGCAGAGAAGAAGCTGAGAATCTTGTCTTCCAAGATCGTCCGTTTCTAGCTAAGACATGGTTTGCACCACTGAATCGGTGCAACAGTCAGCCGAGGGATTTGGTAGTCTCGGTGGAAGATTTCGGTCGAATTGGGGATGTGGTTTGTTCAGCTTGGGGAGATTACTTGACTGTGAGTTCTTGCTCCTTCCGACTTGTCTGGCCGCAGCCAGCCTTGTTCACATACCAAGAGTCCTGGCACTTCCTGGTGTTCGATGGGCAGGGCCCACCCGCCGTGCTTGTCCATAACACATGTGGGAGTAAAGGGGAACAAAATCCCTGTCATTCCTTTTGTGCTTGTGCCTTTGATCATAGGCATAAGGTTCGTAGATCCCAAGGAGAGTCTTCCGGCATACGATGGAAGCATGGAAACCTGGTCAGGATCTTCGTGAAGGGAGCACGGAGTGTGTGCGAGAGTTTCCCATTGCTACATTCAAGTGGGACCGATGGGGACAACACTGCAACCCCTGGTCGTTTCAGGGATGACATTAACCCACACGATGGCAACAGCTTGATGCAACAACAATTGATGCATCTGGCCAACATACAGGCGGTTACTATTACTGCAATGAGATTTGCTCGAGCGGTGGATCATCAGATCCCTATGTATGAAATTGCGAATTTTGCCACGCAGAACTTCGTCAAGAAGGATGGGCTTCGGAGTTGGATTCGGAATGTCCTTGGGCATGAAGGCGATTCAATGATCTTGGCAACGTGGAGGGTAAGCTCTACTGCGCCAATCACACATGAATGTGATAGAGTCTTACTTGAAGGCCCAAATTGGGCCCGGTCCTTCAGGCTCTACTGGAAGAAGGATGACTCATTTAAGACACCAGTCATCATTTCTGTGGATCCGCAACCTCCAGTGGTCAGTGGCGGGGAAATGAAGCAGTTTCATGTCATTGCTGTGGAGAACCGAGTCTTGAAGCAGGACTACGTTGTGCACCTTTTTGACATATGGGAGGCCGAAAGCCCGACAGATGGCACAGGGTGGCATTTCTTGGGGCGCAAAGCACTTGTTATACTTCGAACATCGACTGTTGAAGAAGTTGCTAAGATCATGGATATGCCCCGATATCGCAGTGATGCTCAAGTACATGCCTTATACTCCCAAAGGGACGGCGAAACTAAGGTCACCTTTCGGAGGGACCAGCGATTGGCTGTCCCAGATTGTTCATATGTGCACCTGGTCTTTGTGAATGCAAAGGAGAACTGTTTGCCAATTAGTGTGGATGTGTCTTCCGAAGGAAATGAGTTGCTGCAAACACCCGTCAATTTACAGCAGCATGCGAAGTATGGGGAGAACACTGCAACCCCGGTTGACGATGGGCAAGATGAGTTGGTTATGATGCAGGCGCAACAGGTGACCAGAACAGCAGCGGAGCAAGCTCTCGCAAACTGTTACGAGCCCATTTTTACACCAGTTCGGCTCTATTCAGGACGTGAATCTTCCTGGCGCCTATGGAACCATTTTGTCCGTAGTAGACTGTGGAGAAACCCACGCTTTGATGAGATGTCGGCATGGGTCCTCCCAGAAGGAACATGGACACAGACGATACCTGTCACCCTCTTCTCGTCCCGCCCAGGCAGCCAGGCGTGGAATGATCCGCTCCGATTGTGGCATGCTCTTGGTGGACAGACTGATCCCATTGTTCTCATGGTTTTTCCAGCAGTCAACCAGCTTTCTTTGCCGGAGGACCACCTTCTGTTTGTGCCTGCTGATACTTATGAGCATGAGGAAAGAGTCTTCTTGGTCGATGTGGTTGATCGAAGTGAACCCGGATCGCATGTTGTTGAGAGGGTTGCGGTAAGGGGGACAGGATGGACCCCACGCAGCCTTGCCCGTTCGTTGGGGCATACGTGTACGCAGTGCATTGTCCTTTGTAGGGGCTGCAATCGGTCGGCGGTGTTCGTTGTCGATCAGTTTATCCAGTTCCATACAGGGTCCTTTTTGGTTCTAGATGTTAGTGCTGAAACGACACAACAAGAAGCCTGTCGGAATACGGATGTTCCTGCTGCTCAGTTGTCTTTGCAAAACCAAGGGGGCAGAAGCTTGCTGGAGCCAGATGAAACTGCCCTTTTTCACTTTCAGCCTCCTCCCCCTGAGAATGCTCATGTGGATGCTGAGGCCTATTTTTGGGTGCGTAAGACGATTGTGTACCAGCCGGCACTTCTCAAAGCCGCTATGGAA